AGTGATCAAGTGATCAAGTGACCGATGGCAAAGAATTTGCAGTATTTGGGATCTGGCATAATTACTGCCTTTCATTAGGCTTAACTAAAACCCATTTTTTCACAATTTGGATCTTAGAGGGTGTACATCATATACATTTTAGAGAAAATTAAAGCGTTTTCATAGATCATTCTTCATAATCAAGTTCCAAGTGACAAACACAAAGGCAAAAAAACTACATGTTATTTTAAGTGGATGTTAACATTTACAGACATTGTAAGTATTTCAGCTAATTATATTACCATTCAACTTTTGAACACCTCATTTTTTCATATTTTTTTAAAAATTATTTTAGGCACCATGGTTCATAATACTATTTTCATTCAACACCACACCCCCTGTAGAGTTTCTACTTCCCTCTACCACTGTCCCAGTTCTCCCCACCCATACCATCCTATTTCCCCCAATGCCCCTCTTTGTAGTAAGATCCTTACTAAAGATTAGTTCTCAGCCAAGAATCGACCCTGAGCACTACTGAGTATAGACCCCAAACAGTACCAATAACAGCAACCAAAAAGTTTAATCAAAGTCTAAAAAGGGTTAGTGGCAGAATAAGGACAATGATCTCTCAGCTGGAGGTCCTAAATACCCCAGGTTTTTTTTCATAATTTTTGTTACATTTAATATTTGAACAGGCAGGAGCCATAGCACCGCAGGTAGGGCATTTGCCTTGCACGCGGCTGACCCGGGTTTGATTCCTCCACCCCACTCAGAGAGCCCTGCAAGCTACCGAGTATCCTGCCCACACGGCAGAGTCTGAAAAACTCCTTGTGGCATATTCGATATGCCAAAAACAGTAACAAGTCTCACAATGGAGACGTTAGTGGTGCCTGCTCCAGCAGATCGATGAACAACAGGAGGACAGTGCTGCAGCGCTAATATTTGAACACCAATCCCACCCCCATTATACCGTCCCACCACCATATTTCGGGTGTTTCTATCCAGAACCCCAACCCCTGCCCCAAAGCAGTACTGAAATAATTTATTTTGTACTTTTTGTTATGAATAAACCCCTGAAAATGATCCAAAACAGTTTCTTGAGAGGAAAGTCTATGAAGATTGTTGTATTTCATCCAGGGGCCATTAAGCCCTTCTATAAGAGAGTTCTAACATGTTGTTAAAGGTTGAGTCTTGTGTGTTTATATATCTGTAAAAATACGTTTTCCTCTAAGATTGGTTGTCTTCTACTTTAAACGCCATCAAATGTGGTATGCTACTCTTGGAATATTATTTGTGAAAAGTATGAGATGTCCAGGAATAGGTTCACCCACGGGTGAGGCTCAGCCCAAATATGTGCAGAGTGGCCATGAGCACGGCAGTGGTTGAGTTCTGGAGGTTTTCGGCTGCCTGGGCTGGCACCTGACTCACCAGCCCCACCTCCAGGTTGCCCCAAATGAAACAGCCTGGCATGGGGTCTGGCAGTGTGGTTATGGTATGCTCTCTTCCAAGTAATTTAAAATGAATCTCTGCACCCTAGTTTTATAGGTGATCCTAATAATGCTAACCTGAGGACCCAGAAAACTTTGGTGGAAATAGTGTTCCCTGGGAAACAGGCCAGATATACTGACGGGCTGTGTGTTATTATCCATCTCTGGAGGAGAGCAAGGAAGTAAGCCGAGGAATTTAACTGGGGCTAGTAGGCATGAGTTGACTTTCCGGGACTTTCACAGAGATGATGCTTCAGAATTAGTGAGTTGAGATAGAGGTTGAGGCCTTAGATGGGCAGACTCATCAGTGCCTGGTTTCAGAGATACATTGGGCAAACCAAAAAACAAAGCATAAGGTTGGCTCAGTTCTGTCTACAAACTCCCAGCTGAGACAGACAGCTGAGCTCTTCAGGCTGGCAACATTCTCAGTTGTTGGTGGAGAGTAAATCCTTCATTCCTTAAGGATGGGAGGTGGGTGTCAACATCACAGTATCCGTGACAGTCCAGTCTTTTTCTGCTTAGATCCACCTTTTCAAATTCCTCCCCTTCCATGGGACTGGAGCAATAGCACAGCGGGCAGGACGTTTGCCTTGCATGCGGCCGACCCGGGTTCAATTCCCAGCATCCCATGTGGTCCCCTGAGCACCACTAGGGATAATTCCTGAGTGCAGAGCCAGGAGTAACCCCTGTGCATCGCCAGGTGTGATCCAAAAAGAAAAAAAATTCCTCCCCTTCCACCACAAGATTTAAGGATTAGGATTAACTTTCCTAGAACTGAGCAAATATTCTGGCATGTTTATTACATGGGGTAAAGAGAAAATGAAAATTAACAAAAAAGAAAAGAAAAATGTCTGTGAAACTTTTGTTCTCATTTTTACTAAGTGTGGTTTCATTAGAATAGCACAAAACTTAATATTTCGCTCTTCAATGATCTTAATTAAGATTACATAAAAATATGCTTAAAGTAAAAGGTAAAAGGTAAAGGCCCTCCCGTTGTTCATCGATTTGCTCGAGCGGGCCCAGTAACGTCTCCATTGGAGATTTTGTTGTTACTGTGTTTGGCATATCGAATACATCACAGGTGGCTTGCCAGGCTCTGCCAGGCTTGCCAGGCTCTGCCGTGTGGGCGAGATAGTCTCGGTAGCTTGTCGGGCTCTCCGGGAGGGGCGGAGGAATGCTTAAAGTAAAACTATATATTTAAAGTGTAAGACATTTTGTAATTAACTGTAGGAAATACAACAAGGATAGCAATTCCAGCCAATTCAACCAATGAGCTATAGCTGTCAGGAGCAGAATTTAGAATATAAAGTGTGTGCCATCATATCTGTGATACACGCAATACTCACACCTCCTGCTGCCTATCGAAAGAATTGCAGCAATACCACTCCTGGGAATATATCCCAGAGAGGCAAAAAAGTATAGTCGAAGTGACATCTGCAATTGTCTGTTTGTTTACAATAGCCAGAATCTGGAAAAAACCTGAGTGCCCTAGAACAGATGAGTGGTTGAAGAAACTCTGGCACATTTACACAATGGAGTACTATGTAGCTGTTAGAAAAGACGAAGTCATGAAGTTTACATACAAGTGGTACTACATGGAGAGTATCATGTTAAGTGAAATGACTCAGAAAGAAAGGGATAGACATAGAAAGATTGCATTCATCTGGGGAACATAAAGTAACAAAATAGGAAACTAACACCCAAGTATGGCAGAGATTAGTACCAGGAATTTTACTCAATGACCCGGAGGACAAACACACATGTTAGGGGAAGGGGGAGCTCAGAAAGAGAAGGGAACACCAAATAAAGGGTGTTGGGAGGATCCGCCCATGATGGGAGAGCATGCTGAGGGTAGACTGTCGACCAAGCATGATTGCCACTCAATGCCTCTTTTGCAGACCATGGGACTCAAAAGGAGAGAGAGGGAAATGCCCTGCCACAGAGGCAGGGTGGGATGGGGGCTGGGGGGGGGAGGGGATGCTGGGATCCGAGGTGGTGGGAAATGCGCACTGGTGGAGGGATGGGTGTTTGATCATTGGATAATCGAAACCCAAGCACAAAAATGTGTAAGTCTACAACTGTACCTCATGGTGCCTCACTATTAAAAAATAAATAAATACAATTTAAAAAAAAAAGAATTGCTGGGGTGGAAGGTGTCGAGAGAGCACACACCAGGCAATGCTCAGGGCTGTCTCCTGGCTCTGCGCTTAAGGATCACGCCTAGAGGAGTTTGGGGGTCCATACACGGTGCTGGGGACCAAATTCGAGTGGCCTGTTGCCAGGCAAGAGCCGGACTCCCTGAACGACCTCTCCGACCCCTGAGTAACTGCTTTGCAAAGATTTCAAACAGAGGTTGCGACCCACGATAAAGACGCAAGCAGGAGCAAGCACAGGCAAACAAGCGTGCACACCCGCTTCTCTCTTGCTGCCGTGGCTATCATCAGACCAGCGTCTGCCCCCTCTGCAGGGTGCAAGTTGGGGGTGAAGAGAGGTCGTGCAGAAGAGACGTGAGTCCTTTCCCCAAATCCCTCGGGAGAGTGCCTAAACCTTCGCTATCTTTGTCGGGATCCTTACTAGCCCGCAGTCGTAGCCCGACCAGCTGCGCCGCTGAACCCCGCCTCCTCCAGCGCAGGCCCCGCAACTGCTGGAGTACCAGCCCGGTCCCTTTCCGAGCCTGCACCGCCGACTAGAGAGGAGTAGTAAGTGGTTTGGGGATGAAGATACTCCTCCCGTCCTCCTACAATTTCGCTCTGAGGAGTGGGTCCTGGTTTTTATAGTCTCTGAGTCTTGGCTGCTGATGGGATTACACGGCGCCAGGGGGCCAGTTGGTGGGTGTGACATCTTATTATGACATCTCATTATCTCATTCCTACTTTGGACAAACTGGCAGGCTACCGAATGTAGCCTGCCCACAGGGCAGAGTCTGGCAAACTCCCCGTGGCGTCCCCAATATGCCAAATACCAGTAACAATGATGGGTCTCATTCTCCTAAAGAGCCTTGAATATAAGCTCAGGGCTAGGATGAAAGAGACGTTACTGGGGCCTGCTCGAGGCAATCCACAAATAACAGGATGATTTGTGACTATGATTGATTGTGAGTGGGTCCTGTCAGACCCGATAGGTACGCAAATAAAGTAGCATCCTGTAGAGGCACTTCTGACAGACCGCCGTGCCAATCCCAAGACAGCACAACTTTTCAAAGAAAAAACACAGAATCGCTGGTGCCTGCTTATTCTTCTAAATGCTTGGAAAACGTCTGCCTGGTACGCGTTAGTAGGGGGCACGCAAGTGCACCTGCCAGGACCTGGTCCCGAGAGCGGCGCAGGCGCCGTGCCCGCCCCCAGCTGCAGCGCTTCCGGGAGTCTGGGCGTGTCTGCAGTTGACGCGCAGGCGCAATAACTCGCAGGCGAGGGGCACGCCGGGTCGGAGCGGCGGACGGCGGCGCTTCCGGGAGCCTCGGCGCAGGCGCGCGGTCTGGCGCATGCGCGGTCTTCGCCGGCTGGCGCCGCGCGGCGAATCCCGGCCCACGGCCTCTCGGGGCGCCGCTGGTCCCGGCCCGCCGCGTTCCCGGAGCTGCCATGGGCAAGGTGAACGCCGCCAAGCTGCGCTACCTGAGCCGCGATGACTTCCGAGTCCTGACGGCGGTGAGGAGGCGGCTGGGACGCCGCGGGAGAGCGGCGGGGCCCGAGCAGCGGGTGGCCGAGGGACAGCCCCGCCGCGGTGCCGGGCGCAGGCCTTGTGGGGTGCAGCCCTTCGCGTTGCAGGGTGCAGCCCTCCGCGTTGCAGGGTGCAGGCCTTGCAGGGTGCAGCCCTCCGCGGTGCAGGGTGCAGGCCTTGCAGGGTGCAGCCCTTCGCGTTGCAGGGTGCAGCCCTCCGCGGTGCAGGGTGCAGGCCTTGCGGGGTGCAGCCCTTCGCGTTGCAGGGTGCAGGCCTTGCGGGGTGCAGCCCTCCGCAGTGCAGGGCGCAGGCCTTGCAGGGTGCAGCCCTTCGCGTTGCAGGGTGCAGCCCTCCGCGGTGCAGGGTGCAGGCCTTGCAGGGTGCAGCCCTCCGCGTTGCAGGGTGCGGGCCTTGCAGGGTGCAGCCCTCCGCGTTGCAGGGTGCAGGGTGCTGTTTGCTTCTCCTTAGGGTCTTTGGGGACCCCGGACGGGACTCGGGACTGCAGGGAATGCTGGGGGTGGAACTTGGGTCGGCCGCCTGCCAAGCAAGCGCCCGACCTGCTCTGCTGCGCTGTTTCTCGGTCGCTCAACGCTTTTGGCGGGGGCCGGAGCGATAGCACAGCGGGGAGGGCGTTGGCCTTGCATGCGGCCGACCCCGGTTCGATTCCCGGCATCCCATCTGGTCCCCCGAGCACCGCCAGGGGTCACTCCTGAGTGCATGAGCCAGGAGTGACCCCCTGTGCATCGCCGGATGTGACCCCAAAGTCAATGCATTTTTTGTAAGTGTCAGATGCCTGGTACATCAATCTTGGGAAATTGCTGGCTAGCCAGAAAGCGTATTAGCACGGAGCTGGAGAGATGGCACAGGGGGGGTCAGTAGCGTACGTGCCTGGCACCACCACAATCAACCCGTGCCTGATGTCGCCTGGGTCCCCTGACCACGCCTGGAGCAGTCCCTGAGCACCACCGGAGTGCTCCTTCATTTTTGCAAAACCTGAAGTTAGGAACCAGTGAGAACTATATAGTGTGACTCGCATGGGGTCCTTTTGTGTTCTTTCAAAGCTTCATGTTTGGACTTGAAAAGTTAAGTCAAAGGGCTGGAGAGAGAGTAGAGTGTTACGGGTTGCCTTGAATGTGGTCGAACCCCGGTTCAGATGCTCCACTGCATTGGATCCCAGCCAGGAGTGAGCCTCCTTGTCTTGAATTCTATAGCACCAATCTGCTAGCTGTTGCCAATCCTCACCTTTTCCACAGGTGTCCCGTACAAGTCTTTATTTTTTTTCTTTTCCTTTGTGTGTGTGTGTGTGTGTCTTGATAGTCTCTTGTCTACTTCTAATACACTCCTGCATCTCCTCTCCAGGTCAGTCTCATGTGCTATACAGTGCCCTTGAAATTCATCTTGCAGCTAGAAAGTGTATTCTGTTGCAGCCAGTGGTCTTTCTTTAAGGTCTTATCTTTCCCAAATTCTAATAGGTATCTATATACTTATTATCGCCGTTAGCTAATACATTTTCCAGGAGTAAAGCATTGACTTTTTTTTTTAATTCCCCACAATGCCCAGGTTTGGTACTTAAAGACGAATATTTAGATGACAGTAAATATTTTAGTATTTGTCACGTCAGGAACCACCACTGAGCTTTTACAGTCCTTACTGTTGGTGCCTGCAGTTTAGTAGATGGCATTTGATGATGTCCCATAATCAATTGGTTGGGAAATTGCTTTGCCAGACAAGTTAGAAGTTTATTCCTTGACAAAGTTTGAATAGACTGTCTCTGTCTTGGTAATAATTCTGTGATGTTTCCTTTCGTTTCAGGTTGAAATGGGCATGAAGAATCATGAAATAGTTCCCTGCAGTTTGATTGCATCCATAGCCAGCCTCAAACATGGTGGCTGTAATAAAGTTTTAAGAGAATTAGTGAAACATAAACTCATTGCTTGGGAACGTACCAAAAGTAAGTATTTGGTTGATTCACGGCCACCATTAATGATTTTTCTTTTTTTTTTTTTTTCGGGGGTTGCGGTGGGGGGCGGGGAATTGCACTCAGGAATCACCCCTGGCGACCATATGGGTGCCGAGGATCAAACTCAATCGGCCTCATGCCAGGCAAACGTCCTACCCACTATACTATTCCAGCCCATTTGTGTTGTTTTTATTTTAACTGACTTCCCCCAGAGCAGGTATTCAGCAGGCGCTGCACTTTGCAAAAAAGTCCTATTTAGAGCCAGGATAGTATACTCCAGCTGTATTCTTTTGGTCAGAGCAGTCACAGGGCCCTCCCAGTCAAGGAGGAGAGAAAATCATCTCCACCTCCAGAGAGAGGCTTAGCAGGCTCCAGTCACACAAGAGCAAGTAGTGTAGAGATGTTGTTGCTGCCGTCGTTGTGAAATATAACCTGGCAAAGGACTTGAAGGGCATGACTTCTCTAAACCATCCGCACTAAAGCTGTCCTTCTCATAAAATGCCAAAGTCATGACTAGAAAAAAAAAAATTAAAAGTGTGTGTGACTTCTTTACTATAAAAGACATAAAATAAACTGATGAGATTGATACGCCAGTTTCTCAACAGTACTACCACTTTTCAGTTTCTTATTATAGTGACATTCCTACTTTGGACAAACTGGCAGGCTACCAAATGTAGCCTGCCCACACGGCAGAGTCTGGCAAACTCCCCGTGACGTACCCAATATGCCAAATACCAGTAACAATGATGGGTCTCATTCTCCTAATGAGCCTTGAATATAATCTCAGGGCTAGGATGAAGGAGACGTTACTGGGGCCTGCTCGAGGCAATCGACGACTAACAGGATGATTTGTGATTGTGTGATTTGTGATTATAGTGACACGCATTTAATATCAGTTTGTGGGAAAACAGTGATAAAAGGAAATGCTGCATTCATAAAACGGGATCAAATTTTACCAGCTAGGACTTCCTGTGTTTAAGTTCTCCCGAGCTGTACCGACTGAACTTAGTGATATACTGTGTCTGAGGTCTGGTCTTTTTCCTCTGGCCTCTCTAGCTGTGCAGGGCTATCGGCTGACAAACGCAGGCTACGATTACCTGGCATTGAAAACTCTCGCCGCTAGACAAGTCGTCGAGTCTGTGGGAAACCAAATAGGCGTTGGCAAAGAATCTGGTAAGTGCTGATAGCACAGTTGTTTCCTTCACTGTATATACGAAGCACTCATCTCTTAGTTTTCCCCTTCTTGGCCAGTAAAGCAGAATTAGAATTGTTGGTCAGAGCAACACAGATTGTGAAATCACCCATAGTTTGCTAAATTGTTGTTTTTTTTTTTTTTTTTCACAAATCAATCACCAAAAAATCAGTTTTACTAGATTAGCAAGTTAGCAAGATCCGTTAGTAAGATCAGTTTTCTTTTAATGACCAAAACATTAACAGATAATTTACTTTCATTTTATAGCTGATGAATTGAACTTTTGAATAGTTAAAATATGTAATGAAGAAGCAGTAGAAGACACTGAATATCAAACACCCCATTTCTACGTCAGAGCCGTATGATCAGGAAGGCAGAGTTACTTCCATGTAAAAGGGAGAAAAGGCATTATGAAGCGTCATGCAGGAGTGTTTGTTTATTTTTCTAGGCAGGAAATAGAAATAAAGAACCAGAAAGTATTTCCCTTGTACGATTCCCTAGTACACAATGCTTATCCTCCACAGTTAAAATATCCAAACTAAAATTAAAAGACAAGAGGATTATTAGCACAAATACCCCAGGGGAGATCACTCTGCTGTTTGTATGCTTTCTGTGTTTTTTGCATTCATCTCCATATGGTCATATAAGTCGCACAAGTGTACTAAGAGCAGCATTGTGTTTGTATAAGATGAAGCAGGAACACATCTCTTAAGATGTGCCTCCCTTTTTGTTTTTTTCTACTTAAAAAAAAATCATGGTTTTTTTAAAGACTTCACAGCCTGTAAGACGAGCAGTTTCACAGAAGTATAGTCATACAGTAAGACATAAATCTTACTCCTCACCAAAACTCCTATTTCTCCTTCTCAAAGCTGTCACTGTTGTTCTTACGTGTCTTTCTAGAAGCTCCCTGCATCAATACAAGTACATAATGTCCTGGGGTTCTGTGTATGTAATGTGTGCGTGTGTTCACACCTTCAGATCCGAGGTGAAAGGAAGCTGTATTTCATGGTCTCCCGCGTTTGTGTGTTCACTACCCATGGCATCTTTTTACACCACACACCTCGTTGTCATTTTGTTGTGGTGTGAAAGACTTACAGACCTCTCTGCAGATTTGCACATAAATTTGTGATGCATTGTTAGACATTGAATCACTAGAGTAAAAGTTATGTACACTTAAAATTCTTCATACATTTCCTCCAAAATTTGCACTGATCTGTGTTTCAGACAGGGTGAGAGACTGCCTCTCAGTAGAGACGTGGTGTCTAGAATTACCCTGAATAATTTGACATGTTACAATACCAGCATTGCAAATATTAACTAGTTTAAATAGTTGGAACACTTTGGGAAGAACTTCCTCTTTTGATTTATCACAGGATTATATTCCAACAACTCTTACGGAAAGATGTTGGAAGGTTTACTTTTTGGACACTAGGAAGCAGAGAGATGTTTCTCCATTAAATTGAGTGTGGCTGGAGATAGTATCAGGTTTAAGCCACCCGCCCATTGGCCTTGCAGCATCCCACCAACCCTACATCCCTGGCACGCCGTAGGCTCCCTCAAGGGGTCATCCCTGAGCACAGAGCCAGAAACTGCTCCTAAGCACAGTCAGGTGTGGCCCCCAAACACCCCCAGAATCAGTGAGTTGAGCATTGAGCACATTTGTAAGCGTGAACCTTTGTCACACCACTCGTAGATCCTGATACCTGTTGTCTTACCGGTTCTTACAGGAATTAGTTTTACAGGACGGAAAGTATTCCAACTTACTAGGATAAAATTTGATCCAAATAAATTCAAACTCAGAAATATTTCGGTGATTGGAGTGAAATGTGACTAACAACCCTTTTTAAATCTGGCTCTAGATATTTACATTATTGCTGATGAAAAAGGCCAGCAGTTTGCATTAAAGCTTCACAGGCTGGGAAGGACCTCGTTTCGGAACCTGAAAAACAAGCGTGATTACCATAAACACAGGCATAACGTGTCTTGGCTTTACTTATCTCGTCTCTCTGCAATGAAAGAATTTGCCTATATGAAGGTATTTTTTAAATGATTGTACAGTTTTCAGCCCAGTAACACTTGTAGCTAAATGGTTATAGTGATAGAGACATCAGTCCCCAAGTTACCCCAGATTTCCCTACCTTCATTCCCGAACCCTACAGAAAACGTCTAACCCTTGAACTTGCTTTCCTGGTGATTGTTTCTGTGGAAGAACCACAACAGCGGGACTGGAGCCATAGCACAGCGGGTAGGGCGTTTGTCTCGCATGTAGCAGACCTGGGTTCGATTCCCAGCATCCCACTTGGGCCCCCAAGCACTGCCAGGAGTAATTCCTGACTGCAGAGCCAGGAGTAACCCCTGTGCGTTGCCGGGTGTGACCCAAAAAGAAAAACAATTGATTCATCCTTTTAGTCAACAATAGAATATTGGGTGTGTTTGGTTTTTTTTTTTTTTTTTTTTTTTGGGTCACAGCCGGCGAGCCCAGCATTACTGCTGGGGACACAGATAAAAGGGCAGAATTTGCAGATGCCAGAGAGTGCAAATGCAGATATTTTGAGAGAACCTTGGAAATTGTAGGATACTGGACAGAATAAGTTCAATGTGAGGGAAAAGATAAATTTGTGAGTGGTCTAATGTCACATTTGACCCAGAATATTAGACTGTGTATATTGTTACATGTCACTGTCACTGTCCTCCCGTTGTTCGTCAATTTGCTCGAGCGGGCCCAGTAACGTCTCCATTGTGACACTTGTTACAGTGTTTGGCATATTGAATATGTCACGGGTAGCTTGCCGGGCTTTGCCGTGCGGTAGAGATACTCTTGGTAGCTTGCCAGGCTCTCCAAGAGGGGCGGAGGAATCGAACCTGGGTCAGCCGCGTGAGCCAGGTCTGCCGCGTGCAAGGCAAACACTCTACCCGCTATGCTATCGATCCAGCCCTATTTATATTCCATTTTGTGGTCTTTAAAAAGGTTGGTACTTCATAAACCAAAATGCCTCGTCACTCAATTAGTTCATTTTCAAAAGTGCCAAAAGACAAACTACAGAGGCTGGAGAGAGAGTCCAGTAGGTAGGGCACTTGCCTTGCACACGACTGACGCTGGCATCCCGTATAGTCTCCTGAGTCATCCCTGAGTGCAGAGCTAGGTGTAAGCCCTGAGCACCACTGGGTGTGATCCCAAAACCAAATAAAAATAATGCAGACTCTACAATTTATTTTTCCATTTGAATTTTTAGCACACGTCTATAAGTGATGGAAACTTAGAAAAATATAAGGGAAATACCCCGAAACTGATAAAATATCCTGAAACTTAAAGCTGCCTTATTTAAGGCTTTGTTACGCTGGTGTTTATTATCATAACAGTGCTAAATATTTAATGCGTTTTCAGTAGTTAGTGTTTGGTGGAAAAGTGAGTTTAAGCTGGTTTAAAATTTTGTTTTTGTGTACTTCTCATCTACTGTTGTGAGTTAGTCACATATAAATGATTATGTGTCACTATAATTTGTGAAGTTCTGCTGTTTATCTAGTTGTGGGCAGGTACATTTACTTTTTTTTTCCTAAAAAGTGATGACTTCTCTATTGGTTCACATTGTTTTCTTATTTTTCAGGCATTACATGAGAGGGGTTTTCCAGTTCCAAAGCCAGTTGATTATAACCGCCATGCTGTGGTCATGGAACTCATAAGTGGTTACCCTCTGTAAGTATTTATTCATAAAACAGTGGTTCTGATATTTTTCATATATTCAGATTTTTATACTAAATCTTGTATGTCAGGCACTGCCTTAGGGTTAGCAGTAATAAAACAAAGCAATTCTTCACAGAAAGCTTAGATTCTGGTAGTAGAAGACATACAATAAATAGCTAAAAAAGGGAATATCTGACATGCCAGTCAACGCTGTGGATGAACGCTAAGCAGGCTGACCCAGCCAACCCTAGCTCAAGGCCTGCCACCAAATAATACAGAGCCAGGAATAGCCCCTAGGATTGACCGGTATAGCTCAAACTCCCTCTCGGACCCCTAAAAACATAAGTGGGATATGATGTTCCAGAGTAGTCATAGAAGGCTGGTACTTAGCATAGGGTAGTCAGGAAGAAATTGCATTGCTGAGGTTATTTTGTGCATAATCCTGAAAGGAGAGAGGAAACTGTTCCGGGACAGCGGAGCATCAGGCAGGGCTTAGGTGTGATACATGCCTGCCTGTTTGGGGAACGGAGAGGCGCTGCTGGAGCCGAGCTTGAGGAATGCAGGGAGGAATCTTCATTGTTTGAGCTCTGAGAAGCAGTAGGAAACCAGATCCTAGTAACTGCTACAAGAGGGTGTCCATTTATTGAAATATATTCAGCCTAAAACTTTAAAGTGAAGACCATTTCAATTTGATATATTTCAAGACTTTTTTTTTTTTTTTTTTTTTTTTTTTGCTTTTTAGGAAACACCTGGCGATCCACAGGGGTTACTCCTGGCTCTGCACTCAAGAATTATCCCTGGTGGTGCTCAGGGGACCATATGGGAGGCTGGGAATCAAACCCAGGTCGGCCACGTGCAAGGCAAACGCCCTACCCGCTGTGCTATTGCTCCAGCCCCCATTTCAAGACATTTCAATCTTTGATTGAGATCATGGAAGATTTTGAGCTGACAAAGTCTCAGGTCATCATTCTGGTTGATGCATTGAGATAAGGACAGGGTTGGGAAAGCAGGTTAGGAGATGGTTATAATTGTTCAGGCAAGAAGTGAGGTCCCGGGTCCAGAGCACAGTGGTTAGGGCATTTGCCTTGCAAACAGTCGACCCAGGTTCGATTTCCAGCATCCCATATGGTCCCCGGAGCACCACCAGGAGTATTTCCTGAGTGCACTAGCCAGGAGTAACCCCTGTGCATTGCCAGGTATGGCCCAAAAATTAAAAAGAAGTGAGGTCCCGCAAATCAGTCATATGAAGGTGGTGAAAAACAGTCACACTCTGGCTGAGGCAATATGATTTATTTGGACTCGTCTATTGATGAGAGAGAAGGGGCAGGTGAAAGAGGAGACCCAAGTTGCTTTGAGCCCAATGTATTTCCATTTCTGAGAAAGGGGAAGGGATGTGGGAAGAGTAGTTTAAAAGTAGGATAGGAAGATTCCACTGGTATACAGTCCTGAGTCAGAGCTGTCTAACAAATCCAGGGAGAAGTCAAGATTGAATCAATGTATCCACTGATTTTAAACCCATGAACTTGCATCAGTCACCAAGAATGAGTCTCAGTAAAACAAAAAGTCCCAGAATTGACATTTGAAGAGCTTGAAAATCTGGAGGTCTGGGAGAAGATGAAGAACTGTCCAAAGAGAGTAACAAGAAATGGGCAATGCAGAAAGAGGGGAGCTCAAAAATTGGTGGTATTCTGTAAGTAAGGCAGGTGTTTAAAGGAGGAGCAAGAAGTTGACTGGCAGGTCAGATTTGATAAAGACCGAATTGTCATTGATTGAGCGACCTTGATTGAAGCCAATGGTAGGAATGAGAAAAGCTCTTTCATTATAGCAAAGTGTTTGAACGCCTGTTTTAAATGACTCCCTTGGAGTGGAAAGGGGTAACATTCAGAGAAAGCACATGGAGAGAAGCTTGGCTCTCAGGAAGGCTGAAGAAAGGGTGGCATGGTAATGGAAATACAGAATCAACTGCAGTCCTACACTTAGGGAGCAGTGGACACTGGTGGAAGGAGCAGTGTCATATGCATGAAACCCTAGCATTAACAGACAGTATTGTAAATCACAGACCCTCACTGAAAATCCATAAATACTTTCAGATGTCAGATACACCAGGTTGAAGATCCTGCATCAGTATATGATGAAGCTATGGAGCTAATTGTCAAGCTGGCGAATCATGGGCTGATTCATGGAGACTTCAATGAATTCAATCTCATTTTGGATGAAGAGGACCACATCACCATGATTGATTTTCCGCAGATGGTCTCGACTTCTCATCCCAACGCAGAATGGTCTGTATACTGTAAAGCCTGTGCTCTACCCAGCTTGTGTTCAGGGAAGCTCTTCTTCAAGATTCCCTTCAGAAAATATCTTTATTCAGGAGCAAGATACATAATTACAAAATAGACTATAAGCAATGTTTACAACAAACAGTGCTAAAACATGAGTCCCCAGCTGTTGAGTGATTTATCTTCAGATGACAGCTAATAAGCCATTTTCAATAAGATAAAGGAAGAGTCCCCAAATAAAAGTACATTATACAGACACCAAAATTGTAAGCGTTCTATGATGTTTCCAAGTTTAAGCAGCAATAATTTACAAGGAACTAATGTGACTTAACTTGAAGTACTGAGGATTAATAAGTTATAAGTTATGGGGATAGCTTGAGTTTTCTAATCATGGGACTCGTGCCAATAACAGCTGATATTTGAGGAACTCTAATTTTAGTTTTTTAAATAATGAATGATATTTTCTCTTTCGTGTAGGAATTATGAAGTGGCATACAGAAAGGATTTTTTCATGGCTAATAGATAAAAATAAGCCACTGAAACAGGTCTTGCTTTTGCAGGTATTTTGACAGAGATGTTAAGTGCATTCGAGATTTCTTCATGAAGCGCTTCAACTATGAAAGCGAGCTTTACCCAACTTTCAGTGATATCAAGTATGTACTCTGATTGCCTAAGGTATTTGCATTTAAAGGCCTGTCTAATTAACACATTCATCTGAAAAACATTTCAGCTAGTGACCACTGGCCTTATAATTGCTGGTGCTTGTAAACTTCTATAAGGTATATAAACACAGTGACTTTTAAAGAGCTAGGAAACACCACCTTTGCTTTCATCGAGGCCGGCTTACTGATGACGGGTGGAGGGAACATAACTGACTTCTGCTATACATATACATTTCCGATCCCAGATTTTCTCATTTTATGTAAGTAAGTAAGTAAGTAAAGCCCTCCCGTTGATCTTCGATTTGCTCGAGCGGGCCCAGTAACGTCTCCACTGGAGACTTTGTTGTTACTGTGTTTGGCATATCGAATACGTCACGGGGAGCTTGCCAGGCTCTGCCGTGCGGGCGAGATACTCTTGGTAGCTTGCCGGGCTCTCGATTCCTCATTTTATGTACTTAGTTAAATTATCTTGCATGGGGGTAATCTTTACGTAAAAGAATTCTCACCTCCTTTGAAGTTAATTTTCTAAGTGGAATGGCAGCTGAAGCTTCTGTGGCCTTTCTGCTGCTGTCTGTCACTTTTTATTGGCCTGTTTCATAATGGTGAATGGGTGCCTTTTGATTTTGTATACTTAGGTAATTTCAGTGTTACAGTTTAGGCAGAGAAGAGGTTTCTGAGATGCTAGGCTGTGAAACGAGTATGTGTGTCCTCAGCGGTGGCATGGCTGACGGTCAGGTCGATGTCGTTCTTGCTCACTGTGTGACCTGTTCTAGGAGGGAGGACTCTCTGGACATTGAGGTCTCTGCCAGCGGCTATACAAAGGAAATGCAAGCGGATGACGGGCTGCTTGACCCAGCGGGCCCCGACGAGGAGTCCCAGGATGCAGGGGATGGAGCTGGCTCCTCGCTGTCCGAGGAAGAAGCACCCGGAGCAGAGGACGGAAGGATGCCACACTCTGTGGCTGCCTCAGTTGGCCATGGGCTCGGGTCCTCAGGGGCCTGGGACCTCCCGGAGGAAGAGGCAGAGCACCCTGGCGCACAGGCTTTCAGAATGACCAAGCTCAGTCAGGCGCTAGGCGAGATGAAAGAGCAGGTTGCAGAAAGCACTTCTCTGGCTGAGTTCTCCAAGGAGAAACAGACAGGTGACAACAACGATGACCTGGCTGCGGGCTCCGATGAGTGCGGAGACATGTGCCCTCAGCTCATTGCCCTGCACCCGCCCCTGGAGCCCGGGCTGCTCAGGTATGCATGACTGCTGGGTGCTCCCGCTTTGATCTGGAGACGAGACTCCAGTGCTGCTGTAGGAGGGGTGCAGTGTGACTCCCCCGAAATGAGTGTGGCAGCTGTCTTCTGCACCAGCTGGGTAAGACAGAAACACCCTTTGTCCTGCTGACTGACCCTCCAGGGTCTGCTGGTGAGATTTTTCAGAAGTTTTCCCCTCATATGCAGCCTGGGAACTTGCACTTAGTGAATATAGGTTTCGTGACAGACTGATCAGGCTGTAGATAGAAGAACAGACAGTACTAAGGTTTCTCAATATGTGGATCAGGTTTGGCATGGGTGAGTTCATACGTGTTTGTGATTGTACATTTAATGATAGTCCAGCAAACATGGGAATGTGCTCCCTGTAAGACATTGCAATAAGACTTTTATAAAGGACTTTCAAGATAGTCAGAATTGACAGATTGTATGTGCAGCTGGTTGTTATTCTAGGGTTGTTTATCTTTTCCTCACAAAAGAGATCATTAGTTAAAACTGGATAAATTGATCAATGTAATATAATTAAAATCTACCTGCCATGAGTTCTCTGATAGATCGAACACTTTTATTTGTTCCATATAGTTAAAAGTGTTATATTATGGGGTTGAAGCGATAGCACAGCGGGTAGGGCTTTTGCCTTGCATGTGGTCGACCTGGGTTCGAATCCCAGCATCCCATATGGTCCCCTGAGCACTGCCAGGAGTGATTCCTGAGTGCAGAGCCTGGAGTAACCACTGACTATTGCTGGGTGACCCAAAAAGCAAAAAAAAAAATGTTAAGTTATCTTAAGATTTTTTTTCTTACAAATATTAACCTCAGATTAACATGAGATCTAAAATTTAGTTCATAAGATTTAGGATATCTTATTCAGAACTGAACAGTTAGTTTATTAAAGTAGCTTTGTTTCAGAATAGCAGTGTGACAAAATTAAATCAGGAGTACACTTTTAAAATACATTTCTCAGTTCTTATTCATACTTACATCACACGCTGCCTCTTTCTCTAGAAAGCAAACAAAACGTGAGAATTTTGATCCTTCTCCCGGTAGCTCTGTATCTCTTCTTGGAGCTACTGCCACTTGAATAATAAACATGTGAAATTAAAATCAAGGATGAGGATCTTGAAAGAAAACCCATACTGGTGAAATAGTCTTCTGAAAACAGAATGGTTTCTAGATGAGCATTCTTGGTCAGATGTCGAACAAAACTTTTATTATCCAGAGTAGGACCATAGTATAATAGTTGTTGCCGAACCTAGAAACCATCTGAGTTTCTTGGAAACTAGCTACAGGTCCACACTGAGGCCGTCCTGGGAGAGGGCCTGTGCTAAGCGTGCACCAGGCCTGAGCTCCGTTCCCACCCTGCGTGGTGCCAAGCCAAGCCAGAGTTAGGCCACGCATTACGAAGTCAAAACTTTGACCAATCTGAATCTGGTTGAGACTTCCCTAGTGGCGGTTTTCTTTGCCTTCTCCCAGCAGGCCATGTAGCAGACGCTGTTTCCACTTGATACTGTGGTGTGTGAAAATGGCCGGAGGGAGTCCCATTAATTTAAATTAGGAGAGGTAGATTTGTATAGTTCAGAAGAGGAGAGGGTTCATCGTAAAGACTGGCTTGGGGAAAACAATAAATTTTGATGGTCATGAATTTTTGCCATTCCAAAATTTTTACAGTAACTACCAGAACACACCAGAAAATGTTTGTGTCGTAGGACTGAGGTATGGATTTCTACCTTCAGCAGTTTTGAAAGTCATGAACTCAGCGGTATTGTCTGCCCTTTTTTGTCTTACCAGCACATCAGGAGTGAAATTGAGTATAATTATGAAAACTGATAAATTGTAATTTTGGATTTTTGCATTTTAGAGATGAAGATATAGAAAATGTTCACCAGTCTCGAACACGAACTCTGAGTGTCACTTCTGCAGGCAGTGTTTTAAGCTGTTCAACCATTCCTCCGGTAAATAGTCTTTCAGCATTCTCTTAGATCATTTACATGTACCCCATTCCTGAGCTGATGCATGGTAAGGGTCATTCAAACACACAGTTCACTTGTTATCAGTATCCAGGTATAGCAAGAGCAAATTTAGTAATAAAGGGAAAAGAATTCACTTTTAGCTGCAGTTATCCAGAGCTTTTCAGGGAAAGGCTGGATGTAACTTAGCTTGAAATCGAAAGATAAAATACAGAGGAATTTCAGTCACAGGGGGATTTTTGTAGATTCTCCTGCAGTCTAGATCAGTGTTTCTCAGCCAGGCTCATACCATTCCCAGTGAACCCCTGGGATATTCCAGGGGTGCTGCAGGTGAAAATCACATCAGTGGGGGCATGGCATGAGCCACAGGGCAGCTGGCAGGACGGGTTCTAAGGAAAGAAGGTGGGAAATGGCAAGAAGCTTGGTGTCCATCCAACCAGAAAGTGTGAGCCTGACTGTCACGTGTGGTCACACAGCTTCATGTGGAGTGAGTCATGGAAATGTGTCGTTGTGAAGACTCAGCAAACTCCAATCTGCAGACTCAGATGCGGAATGAGTCAAGATGTTTCTGGCAGCGCTTGCCTGTGTCGAGTTTTTCAGACCGAAAGAAGTGGGGAAGGTTCTCTCAAAGTCCTGGCCTCGAGCATTGCTTCTCACTGTGGGCAGAATGTCCTGCAGAGGGCACTGCAGTAGTCCGGCAGGGTGGCCAACAGCAGCCTCGGGTGCAGCTGGTGGGGGGAGAAGGGTACTCTGTTCACTTAAGGCAGCTTTGCGGGGGACACTGGGTGAATTTTGTTTTGAAAGTTGGTAGGCCGGGAGGGACCATACCCAGGGGTGCTGGGAGGCCATCCTGTGTCTGGATCACTGGGCCTGCCACCTAAGTGGCACTGGAGCTACTTACTACCCAGACTCAGAGCACATGTACATGTACACACCCTGCTAGGTTTCCTGACGTAGCTCAGGCATAGCCAGCATGTTCACACCATAGCTGCAGTGTGCAGATGCATCTGCTTTATTGGCTGATTCTAAAATTTAGAAGTAGAAAAATGGACGCCAGAGATCATCTAGTGGAATCTGCCTTGCAAGGGAGTCAGTTCCTGGCACCCTCCGTGGTTCCCTGAGGCCGTCAGGAGTGATCCCTGAGTGTAGAGCAAGAAAGTAAGCCCTGAGCACTTGTTGAGTGCAGTACCCAGGACTTAGGAAGACCTGACCTTTGAGAACTGAAACCAGGTGGTCTGTGGGCTTCAATTGTGGTGACCTCCCTAAGACAGGACCCACCCAGGAAGCCAGACCACTCTCAGTGTGCTTATTTTTCAGGAGGGGTATTGGATCTGAGGTGCTCAGGGTTTTACTCCTGGCTCTGAACTCAGGGATCACTCTTAGTGAGGCTTGAGGGTTTGACCCTGGGTAAACTGCATGTAAGGAAAATCCCTCAATCCCTGCACAATCTCTTCAGCCCATGTGCATCTGTGAATTCAGAATCCTTCTCTTCCTTTCTTCACACTCAGAATTCTCTGACGGAAGGAGCCTGAGCTTGTTAACACCGTTAATTCAATATTATCTGGAGCTAGAGCGATAGTACAGCAGGTAGGATGTAGGATACCATTGGTTTGTCCTACTGGTTTTCTCCTTAAGACCTTTGCATAGTTAATTCAGAGTGATGTCCTTTTTGTATAGACACAGGAAGACAGTTAATGCCGTGCTTTTGTAACTTGGGAGTTAATTGACTACAAATGATATTCACTCGTGGGCATCTGTTCTCTCGACCTAAGCCTCAGTTTCCCTTACTTCCTAGCACCCCAAAAGCAGGGTCCCGACAAGGGACTGAATGGACCCAGGGCAAGCTGTGAGCTACCCTGGCATCGAAATGGGCTAGGCCAAAGCGCCATAATACTTAACTGTAAGTTAAGATCATGGTCATAGACAAATGCTGTCATGATCCAAAAAGTAACAACTAGATTAGGACCCTGCTAGGGTTAGGGAAGACTAATCTGGCCTGAGCATTGTAGTCTGAGATCAATAGTGAGGTATCCCTGGGAGAGCCACCCTACAAGCTTAATGTATCTCTTACTGTATCCATTACAAAATAATAATAATAATAATACTTAGAATTAAGCTGTTAATTAAGTTATTGGACTAAGGAGAGGAGAAAAGCAATATTTACAAGTTAACAGAGTCTTATTGGGAGATAAATGTGATTCACTGGTTGGGAAAGCAGAACACAAAGAAAGAGGTTACAAATAAACACAGAGGAATGGGAGCACTGTGATGGGAGTAACCAAAAAAACCTAATCTCCCTGTGGCGAGGCAGAAACGACAAACCCATGTTATCCTACATCAGGGCTTTTTGCCTTCCATGTAGCCAACCAGGTTCAAACCCCATATGGTCCACCAAGCCCCGTCAGGCATGATCCTTGAGCACTGCCAGTTGTGGTCCTCCAGTACAAAAAAATTCCTTTTTTTTTTTTTCTTTGCGTAACCATATCCTCTAGCTATTCTTCGTTTTCCAAGTTTTAGGTTGCAGGTGGGTCCATTCAGGAAACACTGTTGGGCACCTTAATCCTACACCTTGTACCTCTCAGACCCATAGTCAGTGTTGGAACAAACGCTGAGTTATGCCTTGCATCATACTAACCCGACCCTTGCTTCAGTCTGGTGTGGTGTCTGATGTGTGTTAGAAATCATTGAAGAGCAGGCTTCGGCACTTGGCGGAAAGGGTTTTTGAACAGAAAATTCACGTTTTCTGTCTGTTCACTTTCATAAGTCATAATTTGGCAGCCCAATGATGATAAGTGATTCCAATGTATGATTTTTGTTGTGAGAAAGGATTCTGTGTGTCCCCAGATCTCAGTGCCTTCCCCCCTAAGAATAGCGATTTGCATCTTACTGCTTCACCTTAATTTCAGAGACACTCTGGGACATATTACATCAGCATTTGTGATATTCTCAAACATAATTTCCTACTTCTAAACCATGTAAGGCAGAGGAGAAATCCTTTTATTTTGTGAATGTTTGGGATTTGGGGGGGTTATTGTTATGGGGGTTGGTTTTAGTTTTTATGGATTTATTTTGTTCTCAGTTTTTCTGATGGACACCAGGTGGCACTATGGTTGTGTTAGTCAAAGGATTATTTGCCATCGTCTGTATTTCCATTAGGAATTTAATTTCCCCTATTTTATGACTAGAAGGCTAGAATGTCATTTTATGACTGGTTTGTATAGAGTTGTCATACTTGGAATTTTTTTGATGCATGATCTTAACAGAACTTTGAAAAACAGCCGTAATATAAACCCATTTTATTGGCTGTCTATTTACTCATCAGAATGGTCAGAGTGATATTAATTCATGGAATCTTTCCAGGAACTGGTAAAACAAAAGGTGAAACGCCAGTTGACCAGACAGCAAAAAGCAGCTGCCAGACGTCGGTTGCAGAAAGGGGAAGCGAATGTATTCACCAAACAACGAAGAGAAAACATGCAAAATATAAAATCAAGCTTAGAAGCAGCCAACTTTTGGGGAGATTAATATGTTTATGTCATGACTATTTCTGTATATATATATTTTTAATCCTTCCAGAGCATCCCTTAATAAACTCTTATACATTTGACTGATTCTGATGTCTTCTAAAGAATAAATATAAATCTGTTAAAACAATGCCATTTTCCATATACTTTAGTTGACTGATAAAATCTGCTGAAAATCTGTTTTCTAAAAATAATTTTTAAAGGGGCTGGAGTGATATAGCACAGCGGACAGGGCATTTGCCTCGCACGGGACCGACCCAGGTTCGATTCCCAGCATCCCATATGGTCCCCCGAGCACCGCCAGGAGTAATTCCTGAGTGCATGAGCCAGGAGTAACCCCTGAGCATTGCCGGATGTGACCCAAAAAGCAAAAAAAAAAAACTTTTATAAGGAATATTTGGTGTTTTTTAAATTTATGTAGCACTTTTGGTTTTTGTTTTCAGTCACCATGAAATTACAGTTGTTTGTGATTGGGTTTGAGGCATACAGGGTTGCAACACTGGTCCCTTCTTGTCCACTTCCCTCCACCAATGGCCCCATGCACTCCCATTTGCCTCCACCCATCAGTCTAGAAGCATTTTTGTTTTTGTTTGTTTAACATAAATTTTTGCACTCTAGATTAGTACTGTTCCTAATAGGTGTCTTTTTGTGGTGGTTTTTGAATCATTACCAAAAACTAAATTGCTTGATTTCAAGTCCCAGCCTTTTCCACTTCATAGTGGTGCAAATAAACCAAGACAGATTGTATTTCTCCTCTCCTGCCTCATTTTCCTTGCTGTTAAAATTGGTTTTTTTACACTTTCTTGGGTTGTTCTAAAAAAAGCGTACATAAAATCAAGCGCAGAATTCACTTAGAACAATGGGTATCCTTTTTAAAGAATTCTGTAAAGTATGATTATTGGAATGGTAATACAGGCCTAGCTGTCTGAAACTGACAGTTTACTCAGATTTTATTTAGTCTAGTGATAGAATCTACTGTCTAAGTCTCTAGTAACAAGAACAAAAGGTAAAGGCCCTCCCGTTGATCGTCGATTTGCTCGAGCGGGCCCAGTAACGTCTCCATTGGAGACTTTGTTGTTACTGTGTCTGGCATATCGAATACTCTCGGTAGCTTGCCGGGCTCTCCGAGAGGGGTGGAGGAATCGAACTCGGGTCGGCCAATGTTGGCCGCGTGCAAGGCAGACACCCTACCTGCTGTGCTATCGCTCCAGCCCAACAAGAACAAAGTATTGCATAATTTAATTTGTTGCCACTTAATGTTGGAAATATGATCATAGGAATGGAAATTTAAGGTAGTCCCATGATGATTTTGTTTTGGGGGCCACACCCAGCTGTGTTAAGACTTAAGACTTATTCTATGTCCTGTGCTTAGCGATTGCTCTTTCCTGGGCTGAGGAGACCATATGTGATGCTGGGGATTGAACCTGGGTAGGCCATGAACAAGACAAGTGCCTCACCCACTGTGCTATCTCTCCAGCCTCCAATCATGATTTTCATAGTCTCCAGTTTTTATGCGGGTCTGAACCAGAGAAAACTTAAGCATTAGTAGAAAAGTTAATGAAAGAAGTGTCCTAATAGTCTTAACTGAGGTAGTCATTCAGTATGAACAAATATGTATGCATGAAACAAAGAAAGCACAACATGATTCCTCCTACAAAGATTTTGTGAGAAGATGTGAAGACATGCTTGCGGATTTATGACTGGTGGAAGTTGAGTGAAATCTGCATCATCTGCAGTGAAAATAGGACACTAGGTGGCGTGCTCAGCCCGCAGGAGACAGACCTGCATTCATGCTGGATTACTGGAGAAAACAGATTCTTGCCAAGACTAATAAATCGTAGATTTATTTTTACCATTGCAAAATTAATTTTGATTAAAATTGGTAGTGATGATTTATTCACAAAGAGTATAGGTGAAAGAAACTCAACTGTCCTTGAAAAAAAATACCAATTTGGAAAATGTTTCATACAGTTTAAATTTTAGAGATATACAAGTTGAGGTACTCATTGTTTTTTAATCTTTATAGGAAAATAATATTGAAGACAGCTTATGAGAACCACAGAACGGTTTTTTTTATATACATTTTCTTCTGATCAGAGAGTCAAAAGCAGCTGGGAGAGGCCTGAGCGATAGTATAGTGGGCAGGGAGCTTGCCTGCACAGTTCACCAAGGTTTGATGCCTGGTAACCTGTAAGGTCCCTCGAGCCTCAGGGTGGTCCTTGAGCACAAAGCTATGAGTAAGGCCTAAGCACCACCGAACATGGCCGCAAGACAAAAAAGCATTTGGAAAGCAAACTGGCTTCACCCCAGGCAGCTTTACCTACTGACAGAATACCCGCTAGCCCACGTAAAATGGCTAATTTATCACTGGGAGGAGGACTTCAGATGGCAGATAAATATAGACATAGCTCTTGGTTACCTAAGAGTTCCTGCCCCTCACAACAAATCATTCAAATGCACACATTTAAGCATACGAATCAAGTAAAAAGGCCTAATTCTTTGCCTCATTTGGGTAAAGGTAAATGCTAACTACCAAAGATCTAATAAGTTATTCAGTAAGGATTTTATTTTTCTGGTGTATGTTGTTGGTTTGAGGTTGTTTAAAAACTGGGCTCCAAATTGCAATTATTTTTAAAATACATTTTTAAGCATCCATTAGGCAGAAATTAGAAGGTTGTCCTGTCAGACATGCTGTAAAACATCTCTGGTTGTGCAGAGGAGATGGTACAGGAGTGAAGGCGCTTGCCTTGCATAAGGGGCCAAACTGGGCTTGTTCTGCACCACCACGTGGATTCCCAAGCACTGCCAAGAGGGACCCCTGAACACAAAGGTAGGACTGGTCCCTGAGCAACACAGAGTGTGCCCAAAAAAGCCAGAACCAAACCAAAACTAACCAGAACATCTACAGTTAACAATGAACCAAAGTTTACTGTGAATAAGGCGAATCTGTAATTGTGCGTACTAGCATTGCACTGTGGCAGTGTCTTCCCGCTGTTCATTGATTTGCTCAAGCGGGCACCAGTAACGTCTCCAATGTGAGACTTATTGTTACTGTTTCGGGCATATCGAATACGGTATGGGGAGCTTGCCAGGCTCTGCTGTGTGGGCAGGATATTCTCGGTAGCTTGCCGGGCTCTCCAAGAGGGACGGAGGAATCAAACCCCGGGTCGGCTGCATGCAAGGCAAACGCCCTACCCGCTGTGCTATCACCCCAGCCCATTGCTTATTAGCAAGATAAATATTGCACTGCGCTGCACTGTCCTCCTGTTGTTCATCGATTTGCTCGAGCGGGCACCAGTAACGTCTCCATCGTGAGACTTGTTGTTGCTGTTTTTGGCATATCGAATGCGCCACGGGGAGCTTGCCAGGCTCTGCCATGTGGGCAGGATACTCTCGGTAGCTTGCCGGGCTCTCCAAGAGGGACAGAGGAACCGAATCCGGGTTGGCCGCGTGCAAGGCCTTACCCGCTGTGCTATTGCTCCAGCCCAAGATAAATACAGTCTGGGAATTTCAAATTTAAATCTTCATTCTACCACTTTCCAAACCTTGGTGACTTCCAAAGCCTCTGACCTCACTGTCTTCAATTTGTGAAATGAAGGCGTTCAGTTGTACCTGTCACCAGGTTGTTTCTCATGACACATAAGTGAAATAACCCTGTTCAGTTCAGAGTCTGATGCACACTGTATATTTACTGAAAATTGCTGAAATGACAAGGTTACCAAAAGGAGAATCTCAGGTTGACCATATCTTTCTGTGAAATTCACTAATATTTTGACAATAGTCTTTTGGTGAGGTTTTTACTGAGACCTATATATACTTTGCTTGTCTGTGTCATCCACTTGCTGTTTGAATTAAATACAGTTTTGCTGATACTTGTCACTATTGTTCTTTGGTGAACTTCTGGCTCATTTTTCAGTTTCTCCAAAACTGTAAACATGTCTTAGGGAGACTTAACTGCTGGGTTAATTCAGTTCAAGGTAATCATTCTTGTAGCCAAACACTCAGTCAATTTTCTGACAAAATGCATCGTTGGTGCCTGATTAACCCAGCAAATGAGCCGGTTGCTCTGTGACTCTCGGCCCCCTCCACAGAATGAAGAAATGAGCACAGTGGATTCCCAGGACACATTCCAGGCACCAAGGGTGCATTTCAGTGCCACAGAGTCAACATTCTGGGTGGGCTCGCTCTTGTGGTTGTTTTCATTCATTCCTTCCCATAACAGCTTCCTAAAGAGCACCAGGCAGGATTTAGTTTGTCCTTGATTTACTTTCTGAAATAATGGAACCAATGTAAGGAGCTGTGTGGGACGTGGAAAAGGTGAGATTCGGAAAGACCAAAGTCACATGACAATCAGAACCACAGGGCCCACCACAGCATACGCATACTCCTGCCAAGACTGATACTGTTAACAGCTTAAAGATTTGTTTTCTTTTAATATGGCAAATGACAACTAGGAAATTAAATTGTATAGAGCATGTGGAATCGAATTACGATAGGCTTAATTCCATATATATAGGAGCATGGCTTGTAATACAAGCATATGATTTGGGACAATTATCAGAATACTACATACTTCCATTAACAAATACAAGTGACCACTTGAAAGAAACGAATTTGGTTTTGGTTTTTTTTTAAACCGCTTGCCTAAATAAGGACCTTGACCTTCTTTAGGAAGAAAAATAATAGATGTTCACACACACACACACAGTGTACTGAATAATGTCAGGTGAAATTATCTCAGTCTTCATGGTAAAATATTTGCTGACTAAAAACCTCAATTCCATCTGGAGACATAAGAATAAACATAACAATTCTATGGTAGTAGAAAATAGATGGAACCGTTGATCCAGTGCTAAGGATGATGTGAGGACAGTGGGTGAGTGTAAAGCTAGAGTGATCTTCTCAGTGGTTCGACAGAAGGAGAATTTGGTTGAAAGAGGACTGAGAAACAGAATCTTGCGGAGGGAACAAGCAGAAAATTTAGAAGACAGAACAAATGCAGTGTGCTTGTTAGGCATCACTGAGAGAGAAACTCAGTGCAGCAAAGAGCTAAGTTAAAGATGATTTTTGAAATTTGCTTAAG